TTAGACGAGAACGGAGTTACACAGTGCAATTTAAGTGACTGTGAATTCTCTCGGCAATTAAAAAATAGATCGGATAGTCGATTTTAATTAATTCAGAACAACGATGAAAATTGAAGCTTACAATTAAATAGATATTATGGAATTAAATTAATAGTACTCTTCATCCATGCAATAATTCGATCCAATCGAAATGAATCCAAATTACTCATATGTACGAATAATGAAAATTTATGCATTTGGTAAAATATTAATACTGGGTCAATTTTTATCGTTAATTCGTTCATCTGCATCTTCAGTACGAATGTGTGTGTTTTTCTTTTTTGAAAATTAAAAGATTAATATTAAAAATATGCCCAGTGTACGTATTTTACCCGTTGTAGCAAAGAACAAACCAGCTAACTAGCGGATTATAAACCTTCATAATTACTAATTTATCGATCATTTCATATTCCGTTAAATTAATAGAATTTTGTTGATCCTAAGACCATGTTTGGTTGCCAAGATAAGCCATGATTAACTAAATTGTCAGGTAATCATGGCTTATATTGCCTTATCTTGCCTTCTAATGAGTTTTTTTGTTAGACGTTGCAAGCTCCAATAAAATAATTAAGTTTCATTAGATTATTTAATCTTATCTAGTTGGCTAATCTTATCTTGCCAACCAAACGAGACCTAACTGTATTAATTTATAGAGGTTTAACTGTATATAGGGCATTTATTTTCATTTATTTGAAAAGGTATACATCTTTCTAATCCCAATAGACAATTGGGATAGTATAAAAATGTGCGATCTTCAAACACATCTACATGCTACAGAATTTTATATTAACAATAATGGCTAAACTATATATCTTTGTAATAATCATGGGATTAATTATCCTCCCAAATACTTCTCTAGCTGATAATAATCATGGAGATAATCCCTACCTAGGTGATTCTATGGTGGATGGTGAAATGCTCCCAAAGTATTATCCGACAACGTTCGAGGGAAAAGCTCGTAAGCCAATAAGAAACCATTTGCATCCGCCGCCGCGTCATGCGCCAACCGGCAGTTCTCCGCCTCATCAAGGAATCCCTGTTACATCTTCTGGCGGCGGTGGAGGTGGAGGTGGAAACGGCGGTTCTGGTGGCGGTGGTACAAATAAAAATTAGAGATGTTACTTTTAAGCTACTTAATTTAATTTGATTTCGTGCAAGGATTATAAGTGTTTATGACAAAATGTGTAATCCTTAAATAATTTATAATAATTATTAGATGGATTTAGAATGCACTAATAATATAACTAGAAATTAAATTAAAATATTATTGCTTAATGTTTTGAAATTTATTATTATGAATTTCAAATTATTTGTTCAAAGTAATTATTCATCCAATTTAAAAGAAATCATAGAACTAACTAAAAGATGCATTTGACATTTTCTCCTTTATTTTCCTTATTTAAATTTCAATTATTATGATAATTTAGATATTTCACCAAAATTTTAATTGGGTACTTTACATTGTCAAGAGAAATACTATGAAAGGACCAAAATACCCTCACTAACACACCATACTATTTTTTATTTATTTTAATAGTATTATATATATATATATATATATATATATATATATATATATATATATATATATATATATATATATATATATATATATATATATATATATATATATATATATATATATATATATATATAGAGATAGAGAGATAGAGATAGATATATAAATAGAGTGAGAGTGAGAGAAAAAAAAAAAATATGTATATATGTTTATATATATATATAAATAAAAAAAAAAAAAAAAAAAAAAAAAAAAAAAAAAAAAAAAAAAAAAAAAAAAAATATTTTTATATATTTATATTTTTTGTGTTAGAGAGAGAGAGAGAGATATAGAGATATATATATATATATA